CAAGGAGAGCCCCACGCTTGTCCTTGGGGAAAAGAAAAACCTAGCACCTCTCTGCCTTGTTGTGGCACGTCTCCCGTGGGTAGGAGAACGCCAGGAGAAGAGGCACCAAGAGATGCTTTTGCTGCATGCTGAGTGAAAAGCAGCGTCAGCATTCAGGGAGCAGCACCATCCATCCATCCATCCATCCATCCATCCATCCATCCATCCATCCATCCATCCATCCATCCATCCATCCATCCATCCATCCGACACAGGGTGAGGGCGTGCAAACCTTGCTGCCAGCTCTCCACTGCTGGCACGTGGCAGTTGCATTTTACCCCAACCCTGCAGCCTGTGCGTGTGTTTGCAAAGGGCTGGTGCAGTGCTGTGCATAACACTTAAGCTGAACGGGAGACTAAATAAAGATGAAATGGAGATGGATGTTCCCATTTGCATCAGGAGGAGTTCTGAATCTCTCCTAGTTTCCTTTTCGAGACCGGCTGGTGGGTTAAGCCCTTGCCTCCCCAGGCCTCATGCAGCGAGGATTTGTATCCCCAAAGTTTGCTTTGTTTCCGGTAGGCCTCTTAATTACAGCAAATTAAAAATTAAGAGAGAGGACGGCGGCGAGCAGTGGGTAAGCATTGTCAACAACTGCATGTGACGCAGGCTACGTGACCGAGCGAGTCACACTGGAGGTTGTATTTACACTGAAATGGAGACAGAGATAAACTCACATGAGGAGCAGAACCAATGTAGCTCATTTATGTATAATTAGCCCCAAACTTTTTTTTTTTTTTTTTTTTTCAGTCATTTCGCCTTGAAAGGCGCTGTTTAGTCAGAATGGACACTTTTTGTGGGGAAGGACAACAGAACGAAATTCTGTCGGGAGGAAACTATTGGCAGGTCCGTGCTGGCAGAACAAACCACTGTAATTTTTCATTTCCAGGGAGCTTGGGTTTCGCTGTCTTTAAAAACCCCTAACCTAGATGGTAATTACAAAATATTGAGAACTGGCTGAATCAAAAACGGAACGTTCTTGCTTGTCGCAGCACAGAGAGTTTGGTGGGGACATTTGGGGTATTTTATTTTCCTCGATTCAACCCAAAGCCTCGCAGAGCTCAGGGAGCAAGGATTGGGGTCCAAGACCTCCGAGCCCCCAGCTGCCACGAGGCAATGTGCAGGCTGGTCATGGATGGGGCTGCCTGCATGGGCAGGGGTTTGGGCTCTCAGCTGGGGGAAGGAATCCCCCACAGCCTGGGGTTGGGAGCCGGGGATCGCCGGGGGAGCAAAGTGCATGGAAAATCCCCCCCTGTCCTACCTGGCTCTTTCCAGCAAACGCCGCAAAGTGCGGGATGAATAAATGGAGGCAGCAGAGCAATTGCCAATTAAATGCTCTTTAAAATTTAATCCAGACGTGAAGAGTAATGGGGAATTGCACTTATGGTATCTGCCTGCTGTAGCTGGGAAGGAAGGGGGCACGAGGGGTCCACGAGGGCTGGGCACACTTCTTTTGGGGGCTTTTTTGGAGGTGCTGTGCTCAGCTCTGTGCCCCCAGCTGGGAGCTGTACCCTGGGTGTTTCCCTCTCAGCAGCCCGTGTTTCCATCCAGGGGCTCTGGGCAGCTGGATGTCTGCCCTTTGGTTCACCTGGGTGCTTTGGGACCTTCTGTCCCCCCACAAAGCCCTGCAACAAGGGGAGCTGGGCACGGGGGGAGCCCTTTTAGGGCTGGCTACCAGACTGTGGCTACCAGAGGGCATCCCTGCCTCTCTCCCTGAAAGAAAGCCACCAGTGCCCTGAGACCAGCACCCAGGGCTTTACCTCCTGCCTTGTCCCCAGCCTGGAACCAGCCACAGCCCCACGGTGCTTTGTGACAACTGCCGTGCACCCGGGTGGCATTTTGAAGCGCTGAGTTTTCAGGGAGCAGCTGCGGGTATAAAAATGAAAGCAGCAGGGAGCAGGGTTATTGGTGTCAGTGGAAAACACACACCAAAGTAGGGACTGGAGCATGGATGCGCCTTCTGCTGCTGCTTTGCCTCCTCCGCTGCATCCCCAGCACAGTGGCATCTCCCCATCCATTTGGGGAAAAGTCCAGCCCGTGTCCCACTCCGGTGGTTTGCGGGGACCAAAAGGGTCTTTGGCAGCACCAGTCACAGCAGTTCCCGCCCTGCTCCTTTGGGAAGCATCTTCTGAAAACAGCCAGGCGCTGTTCCTCAGGTTGCAAAATATTTCCTGCAAGTGCCTCTGTGCGTACTCACCCGCAGGGACAGCACAGGTGGGGAATTTGCCTTTTTCACCGTTTTTCCCCGGTGCAGTAGCAATTTTTTTTCATCTGCACCGTTCGCAGTGTTGTTCTTCTGCCATTAGATGTCTCTGCCTGCTGCAGGGAGCTCAGGCAGGCGGTCACTGCTGGTAAACAGAGGTCACCAGGCTGGAGCTGGAGCGGTGCGGACGCCGATGCCTTGTAGCTGCCGGCTGCTTTCTTTATGAACGCCTTTCTGTAAGGCACTGAGATCCCACAAACAGCGTGCCCGTGCAGCAGTGAGCCCAAGCAGTCATTATGTGGCTGGAAGGTTACCTCCAGGTCTGTCAGATGGGGCAGGCAGCTCCGGGCTAGAGCCCAGGGGCCTGTTTGGGTTAGAAACGGCCGAATTTAGTTGTTCAGTAACAAATCACCCTGCTTCAGTGCATCACGCAGCACATCTGCACTTCCAGCACCTCCCCGTCGCATCCTACCCACAACCAGAAGGGGAGAGATGCACGAAAATATTATTTGTAAGCTATCTGTATTTTGTCAGGCACGCCGTTTGCAACGTGCCTCGGTGAGCATTTTTGGCAAAGCCCTGCTTTTGCTGGAAGGGGCTCATCTCTGTGCATTTGCAGCAGGTGGAGGGGGCTCTGAATTACAAAGCCGATCCCTCCTACCCCCTTTTTGCCGAGGGAAGCTGTGCTGCATCCACTGCAGGCACAGCCTCGGCCGTAGCAGCAAGTACGATGCATATTATGAATTGCACGTACTGCCAACGCTGAGAGAAAGGGCTGTGCTCTAACAGCTCTCCAGGGGACATTGGAAACAGCACACGCCTGTCTGTAGCTGTGCATGATTTTTTCCACATTTGTAATTGCAGCCTTTTTCCCCTTTTGGTGGTTATTAATGTTGTTCGTTTCCTCAAAAATTACATCTGTTTAGATGTTAATTGAGTTAATTGTTACCATTCAGCAGCTGGAGCAGCAATTTAGCACCTGCTAATAAAGATGCTCGGTTTGAAGTTGTGTGAAAATGACCATATTATAGGATTGCTGTTGTACTGCGGTGCCAAAAGTGAGGCCGGCGAAGTTAGCGTGCTGTAACGGAGGGAGAGATGTGCTGGAGGGTGGCTGCTTTGAACACAGTGTCAACTTTCAGAGTCACAGATCAGTAAACAAGCTGAGCAATCATGATACAGAGCCATTGTAGCCAGGAAAAAAAAAAAAAAAGAACACAGAAAATACAGGTGGCAAGTAGAGAGTCAACAATAAATACGCTCTCTTTTAGAAGAAATACAGCTTATCTGTGACAGGCTAATTGGCTAGAATCAAAGGAAGAAATAAATGTAAAAATAGAAGGGCTGATGGCACGTGGGAACGTGCACTTAATTTAGTGTTCTCATGCCCGGTTACATGAAGACCTTCCTATGAAGAAAACGCAGAAGGTTCATGGGGAACGAAGAGGACGGTGTGTGAGCAGAGTAGCTCTGAGATAAGCCTGATGGCAACCACAGCAAGCAGGTGACACAAACCTGTTATGGGCTCGTGTCTCGCTCCATTTGCACACTGGCTTCACATATTTCCCTTCCCCTGAGTTACGTGAATCGTGAATTATCACCACAGCCCCTTGAGGTGCTCTGCCTGTGCTCTGTGTTGGTGCCTGTGGTGGTGTTAGCACTGAGCCAGCGGGTCATGAGCCTCCTCCCGGCTGTCCAAGCACGGCTTTCCCGCAGCCTGATGGAGTTGTGGTGAGATTTACGGGCACTCAGAGCACGTGTCTTTTACAGGCAGCACCCGCGGTGTGGGTGAGCTCCAACTGTGCAGGCTGGTGTGTGCAGGGGTGTGCAACTGCGCCCTGCTGTCTCGCGCCCTGCCGAGGATCCTGTCCCCTTCCATGGCAGAAGCAGCGAGTGCTCCATGCACCCTTGCAGAAGCCAGGTGCAGGATGCCTCTGCCCATACCAGGGCTGGTGTAAATGGTTGCACCAGATGGTTTTGGGGGTCTTCTCCAATCTCGATGATTCTAAGACCCATCTGCGGCTGCAACCGATGCGTGCTTTCTGCACAGCTAAGCCCATAGCCTACGTGGCTGCGTTGAGCTGTGCGTTCCCTTTGGTTGTGCTGCGCTCCCCGGCAAGGCCACGAGGCCTAACACTTTCGTAATGTCACGTTCAGCTTCCATTGCTCTCATTTCACAGGGTGGGTGGCATCCGCAAGGGTTGCGAGCAGAAGCTGTAGTGCCCAGGGAAGCACCTAGTCCCTCTCCAGCTGCATGGCCAAGTCACTGAAGGCATTTGGAGAGAGGTGGCGTTTAGGGGAGAAAACCCTGAACATTTCAGGAGCATCCCCCGCTCAGGGAAGGAGCAGCCACATCTCCCTGCAGCTCTGCCTTCACCCGCTCACCCCAGCAGCTCTCTGCATGCTTGGGAGGGGAGATCAGAGCCCTTTCATGGTGTCCTGATGCTCCTCCTGCCTTTTCAGTACAAAATAGTGCCCTGCCATGGGGCACGTGGGCTCTCTCCCGCTGCAACACAACCAGCAACAAGCTGCAGTTTGGGGGGGACCCCTCCAAAGCCCTCTTTAGAGCAAGGAGAGGGGGAAAAAGCCTATTCCTCCAGAGGAAAGGGTATTTCGGAGCAACGGGTGAGTCAGAGCCAGCCTCCCTCCCACACAGCCTCACTATTTTGGCTCCCAGGCGCGCACACGCTCGCACGGCTGCTCCGTCTCCCCTGCCGCCCCCAGCCGGGGGCACGGCGGGGCACGGTGCATGTTGGGGACCCATGTGTGACCTCACTGCCACGGCCCTGGGGGCGCACGGTGCCTGTCCCCAGCACCACAGCATGGGGAGCAACTTCAGCACACGTGGACATCAGTGTGCAGGGGCACTGAGTGGCATCCCCATGTTTCGGGGGGCAGAGCATCCCGTGATGTCCATCATCCCCAGCTGCTGGGCATAGCGGAGCCAGAGCAGCCAAAACCATGGCTCCATCCCTCTGCAACGGGACTTCTGGTGCTAGTGGAGATGGGTTTGAGAGGGCAGAAGGGTGAACAAATCCCACCCAACCCATTGCAACCTGGAAAGGGTTAAGGAGGAACCTCAGTGCACCTAATCAAGCACCTAATTAACACCTGCTGGCGAACAGCAGCATTTAAAGGAGGGACAGGGCTGTAGTGAGGCTTTTGCAGGGAGGGCTGGAGGAGCAGGGGACTTTAGACCAACAAAGGTTCTAGGTGAGGGGGTTCTAGGTGAGCTATGGTGTTAGGGGCTACTAATCCTCCCAGAGGCTCCTGGAACAAAGAGTCTGAGGGTTTTTTTAGGATGAGGTGAAATGGACCCCATGAAAAGATGGATTCAGCTGGAGAAGGTGGGTACAAGGATGGGAGCTTGCTGATGCTGGAAATGTGAGAGAGCTGGGGCAGGGGAGGAGATGTTTTGGGGGACACAAGCTGACCGAGGGCTCTAGGTGAGGGCTCTAGGTGAGGGCTCTAGGTGAGGGCTCTAGGTGAGGGCTCTAGGTGAGGGCTCTAGGTGAGGGCTCTAGGTGAGGGCTCTAGGTGAGGGCTCTAGGTGAGGGCTCTAGGTGAGGGCTCTAGGTGAGGGCTCTAGGTGAGGGCTCTAGGTGAGGGCTCTAGGTGAGGGCTCTAGGTGAGGGCTCTAGGTGAGGCCTAGGTGAGCTCCTAGGTGGGCTCTAGGTATGGTGTTATTAGGGGCTACTAATCCTCCCAGAGGCTCCTGGAGCTACATGAACAAGTTTGGTGCAAGAGATAAGAGTCTGAGGGTTTTTTTTTAGGATGAGGTGAAATGGACCCCATGGATTCAGCTGGAGAAGGTCGGTTCTAGGTGTCGGTTCTAGGTGTCGGTCTAGGTGTCGGTTCTAGGTGTCGGTTCTAGGTGTCGGTTCTAGGTGTCGGTTCTAGGTGTCGGTTCTAGGTGTCGGTTCTAGTGTTCGGTTCTAGGTGTCGGTTCTAGGTGTCGGTTCTAGTGTGTCGGGTCTAGGTGTCGGTTCTAGGGTGTCGGTCTAGGTGTCGGTTCTAGGTGTCGGTTCTAGGTGTCGGTTCTAGGTGTCGGTGTCTAGGTGTCGGTTCTAGGTGTCGGTTCTAGGTGTCGGTTCTAGGTGTCGGTTTCTAGGTGTCGGTTCTAGGTGTCGGGTCTAGGGTGTCGGTTCTAGAGTGTCGTGTCGGTTCTAGGTGTCGGTTCTAGGTGTCGGTTCTAGGTGTCGGTTCTAGGTGTCGGTTCTAGGTGTCGGTTCTAGGTGTCGGTTCTAGGTGTCGGTTCTAGGTGTCGGTTCTAGGTGTCGGTTCTAGGTGTCGGTTCTAGGTGTCGGTTCTAGGTGTCGGTTCTAGGTGTCGGTTCTAGGTGTCGGTTCTAGGTGTCGGTTCTAGGTGTCGGTTCTAGGTGTCGGTTCTAGGTGTCGGTTCTAGGTGTCGGTTCTAGGTGTCGGTTCTAGGTGTCGGTTCTAGGTGTCGGTTCTAGGTGTCGGTTCTAGGTGTCGGTTCTAGGTGTCGGTTCTAGGTGTCGGTTCTAGGTGTCGGTTCTAGGTGTCGGTTCTAGGTGTCGGTTCTAGGTGTCGGTTCTAGGTGTCGGTTCTAGGTGTCGGTTCTAGGTGTCGGTTCTAGGTGTCGGTTCTAGGTGTCGGTTCTAATCCTTCCAGAGGCTCCTGGAGCTACATGAACAAGTTTGGTGCAAGAGATAAGAGTCTGCAGGGGTTTTTTTTAGGATGAGGTGAAATGGACCCCATGAAAAGATGGATTCAGCTGGAGAAGGTGGGTACAAGGATGGGAGCTTGCTGATGCTGGAAATGTGAGAGAGCTGGGGCAGGGGAGATGTTTTGGGGGACACAAGCTGACCAAGGCCTCAGAGGGTGCAAGAGCATGTGTTTACCTGTGGTTATTTGCAGTGAGGTTAAATGGATAAGTGCTTTTTGCCTGCTATCCTGGCTGCTGCCCAGGCTAGCTGTGCTGGAGCTGTAACTGGGTAACTGGTGCTTCATGTCCGGGCTGGAGGAGCATTTGCTCCCCCAGTGCTCAGTATTTGCTGCCCTACCGCTGGGTGGTGGGGTGCTAGGACTCAGCTTGCTAAGGATAAAACAGGGGAATTTAATACTCTTGAGTTGCTTGCATTCCAAAACCTGGTATGAAATCCCTGCTTATGTTTAAATAATCTGTATGTTTGAGTAAAGGATTACGAGCCAGCGGAGGAGGCAGTACTTCATTTCTCTCAGGGAAGTGCAGAAGGGAGTCCTTGGAAAAGTCAACTTGCTGAAGAGCAGAAGGGGCAACCTGGGGATGCTTCCAGCAAGCTCCGAATGAGAGCAAGAGCCAGGAGACAGCTGCTCGCAGAGGCAGGCAAAGCAATAAATAGTGAGAAATAACATTTAATTACTTCTCACTCCTACTAGTCTGCGGAAGATCTCTGATGCTTCCCTGTAGTGAGATCCTACACCTCTGATCTGTGGTGTAGGGGGACCCATGTGATGGCTGTAGTAGATTATTCATTGCTGAGGTGATAAATAAGCCTGAGTAGCAGGGATCAGAGCCTGCTGGCTGGGCTGCAACCCCTGGTAAAGCCATGGTGGGACTGCAGCATGGACAGAGCTGCCTGAATCTGGGCTCTGATAGCTGAGATGTGGCAAGTGGAAGGGTGTGTCTGAGCCCAGCTGGCTGCCAGGCATCCTGGAGATGGTCAGTGGAAAGTATGACCCTGGTCAGCTGGGAATGAACTTTTGATGGAGGGTGGGAGGGAGTGAATGAAGAAGGAAAGGGATACCAGGGTGGCTGTTGTATAAATTTCATGGCATCATATTTGTTGGAAAAAACCTTCAAGCTCACCACGACCAACCTTAAACTGACCTGCCAAGTCCCATGTCCCTTGGGGATGTGGTCTCCACCACTTCCCTGTTCCAATTCCTGGCCATCCTCTCCATGAAGAAATTCTCCCTGACATTCAGTCTGAACCTCCCCTGACACCACTTGAGGTGCTTGAGCAGCTCAATATGCAACTCAATGTCCTCCCTATAGTGAAGGGCCCAAACCTGAGCAGAGCATTCAAGGTGTGGTCTCGCAGTGCTGTGCACAAGGGGCAATCACTTCCCTAGTCCTGCTGGCCACGCTGTTTCTGCTGCAGGCCAGGTTTTCCTTTCTTTTGAAGGAAATGGATTAGGCAGCTGCTGAGACAAAATACCTTGACTCTCTGTTTTGACACCTGGAAGCATTCGCCAAATTCAGCAGGGTTTTTCTACCCACCACCAACCTCCTCCTCCATCTGTCAGCCCTTCCTCCCCAGCTGCAGTGGGGAAGCCAGCTGATGGGTGCTGCCGTGCAGTGCAGCTCCTCTATAACCCAGAGCCTCTCTGGTGCCACCTCTGTGCTTGCTTGTTTCCTAAATGGCAATTTGAGGCACACCGGGTAAACACCCTGTAACAGCTGGGTAATTAGAGGCTGTAAAAATGACTGCACGAGCCCCGTGTGGCACAGCAAGAAGGACTTGCCACATGGCCCGCATCGCAGGTAGGAAGAGAGGAGTATTCACTTGCAAGGAAACGGTATTTGCCCTGTAATTACTTTGGTGCTATGTGGTAATTACTACGTAATTAAATGGTCAACAGGCACTGTCTAAACAAAATGGCCTTAAGTGACATTTCTGTCCTGAGGCTTAAAATACAGCGGTGTGGTGAAGGGGAGGAATGGAAAGGCACCGATGGCAGCGTGATGGATGTAGCAGCTCCCTGCCTCCCTTGAGCTGAAGCCGGAGTGAGAAGGAAGCATCTGACCTGTCGGTGCCAGCCTGCAGAATGAGGGAGTGCGCCCAAAATGAAGGAGGTAAGCACAGCGGTGCAGCCGTGCGCTGGATCCACACAAACCTCCCCTGTCCATGCTCCCTCTGCCCACGTAGAGATGTAAACCGCAGCGCATGAGCCTGGGGTGCCCTCCTTGGCTGCCGGGGAACCCCACGTGCCACCAGCCCCCCAAACCTGCTCCCATTCCCTCCGGCATCTCAGGGACCTGTTGGTCCCCACGCTGTTGTGCTGCTCGCAAGCCAGCAGTGGCTCCTTCTCCCTGCTGCTGTGCCTCTGCCGCCGTGTTCCCTGCGCTGCGACTTGTCCTCGCCTGACTCCCGTTACAACTAATTAGCACCTTGACATTTACACAGTGAGCGAGGCAGCCTTGATGTTTGCGAAAGAACAGAAGGCACATCTGTCTGCATGATCCATCTGAAGAGGAGGAACATGGCTATGCGGTGTTTATAGCAAGCAGTTGGGGGAGGAATTAATTTACAAAATTTTTTGAATGAAAACAATTCCAATAACTTAAGTGCCCTCTCCCTCCCACGTCAGCTGTTTACAAACTGTTGAGTTGAATCTGTCCCACATGTCCTTTGAACCTACCAGTAACAGAGGGAAAAATTTGAAATGCATCATGAAAAACTAATTTTGAAAAAAAAATAAAAAATCCTGCCCACGGAGTTCAAACAACTTGTCTTGCTTTAGCTTTTATACCAATCGTTATGTACTTAGACAATGTTACCAGAACCAGATTTAATTGACTCCGTTTTGCTCTTTAACCTCATTAAAGAGGAATGTAGTTGTTCCTCACTGTTGGCTGTCTCTCCCCCCTCCGCAGCCACCCTGCGAAGGTGCTTTGTGCGAGGCGGTGATTCATTTTGCTGCGTGGCAGCAGACCCAGGGTGTTTGAGAGCTTCCAATTGTCATGGTGATGGAGCTGGGGTCTCCCCTCCTTCCCAGCCTGGGTTGCCCTGTCCTTATTCCAAAGGGAAGCTAAGCCCTGTGCTGCAGAGCATGGAGACCTTTAAGGGGTTGAAATACTTATCCAGCTGTAACTGGGGTGTGGAGGGAGGGGGAAAGCCCCCAGACCTATTATACTGTAGTTTCAGCTCCCCTGGTCCAGCACCCATCACTCAGGTGTTAATGCATGACGGCTGGGCCAGCCACTGCTCTCGTGGGACTGTAGGAATAGCACGGCTCTGGGGATGCACGAAAATGCGTGGAGGAGCTGGCAGGTGCCTGCCTGCAGTCCTGGTGGTGCAGCAGATGAGTCCTGCGTGCCCGCCTCCGAAACTCAGGCTGCCGGAAAGCAGCAGTTTTCGGAGGTTTGCCTCAAATTCCCGATGACTTGTTCCTGCTTCTAAGCGGTTGGGGGGTGGGGGGGGGCTAATTGAAGGGAAAGGGTTGCAATTAAAATGATTCTTGTCAGTTTTTTCTTAAGGAAATCTCTGGCTCATTAGCGTCGCGTAACTGTCTCCTGCACGACATCCCTCGAAGCGCTCCAGAATCGAAGCTGAACTCTGCCCTCTGGTATTTAGCGATCTGCTGCAGCCAGGCCAGATGGTGAAGTGGGGGGGAAACGATTGACTCCCCCACCCCTTTTTTGCAGGGAGGTGATGAAGGAAAGGCAGGTGAGCCAGCTACATGTATCCCTGAGCAGGGAGAAGTGGTGGGGTACCAGCTTTGTGGGGATCCCATGGCTGTGGTTTGGGGCTCGCTGTTTGCAGGTGGTGAGTGGTTGTTGTGGGGGTTGTCTGGGGTGAGATGTTGGGGTGCTGAGCCCAGGAGGAATGAGCCCTCAGCCCCACATGGGGAAAAAAAGCAAAGAGCTACAGATTATGCAGGGCTCTCCCTCATGAGGGGCTGGCAGTGCATCCCCCCACTCACCCCATCACACATTTCTTACAGGGACACATGCAGAAGACACAGCTGATGCAGAGTAGGGTGCTCAGGATAGTGATTTATTCTTAGCTGCCACTCCCCCCTGTTGTTAAACATCTGTTTAAACACATGAATTAACACATCTACCAATAGCGCTTTGATTAAGGATAAAATCACTTTATTTTACGGTGAGAGGTAACCTGAAACACGCAAAAGGAGGGAAGGCGAGGGGAGAAACACGTGCGGCATAGTAAGCAGCTGAATTTTGAAGGCTCTGGGACTGGCTCCTCTTTATACCCTGCCTTGCTGGCTGCTCCTAGGCAGCAGTGCCCATAGCAACACTGCCTGGAGCAAGCGAGGCTGCACTGATCCCACGGGCATCCCTACCATGGGAGAGGGACCCGAATGAAGTCAGGCAGTGTGCTCTGCCCTGGCTCTCCCCCAGCCCTGCCGAGCAGCGCTTGTGCCAAGCATCCCATCGGGAGGAGATAAGGGGTATCGCATCCATCTGGGCTGCTCAATGAGAGCTACACCTCTCCCGGCTGTGAGTGCTGCTGATCTACAAACCTTCCCCTTTTTTATTAGCAACTTTCCCCATGTCGCCACGTTCCTGTGGGTTGGGGTTGAATGAAGAGAAGCTCCTGTTTTAATTTTTGCTGTCAGGAGTAACGGGTAAGTGTAGGAGGAGGAATATTAATCATACCCAGCAGGCATTCTTCAAACTTAGAAACAGCATAAGGAAGGAGCCCAAATGGTTTAAACATTGCGGGGACCATTTCTATGGGAGTCTCATGCTTGAAAACGTGCAGAATACTTTTTTTTTTTTTTTTTTTTACCCCTATTTAGTTTAAAGGGGAAGCTGTCTCTCTCTCATCCCCTCTTTGCAGTGGGGACCAGGGTCTGCAGCCCCAATGTGCTGCTGAGCAGGTCTGTGGTCCCAGGAGGGATGGAGGCATGCGGGGACATGGTTGCTCTGTTAAGAGCTCCATCAAGTCAATCACCTGCTGCTTTTCTTAATTCCTGGACCAGCACCACAGAGGATCAGCAGGCTGATGGCTCAGCCTTAGGAGGCATGGCATTGCCCCTTGCTGATGGTTCACAGCCTCTGTGTGCTTTTCCTTCAGCCTGAGGATATCCCCACAGTGCAAGCATAGGTGAGGAGCAGCATCCTTCTGTAATTCTTTCCCTTTTTGCTTTCCTCAACCCTTTTTTTTTTTTTTTTTTTTTTTTTTTTTTTTTTGGAAAAGAAGGCATTATGTGAGGAAAACAGGTATGGTTTTGTGGTCCTTGAGGCTGCGTGTCTTTTCTAACAGAGCTGGAAGAATTTGCAGCCTCCCATCTAATGGGCCATGGAGTGAGGTGACCTCCTCTGCTGGCCCAGGGCTGGCAGCCAGCAAGGACAAAATGCCCTCATCCCAGGTGAGCCAGCTTAGTGGGGTCTTCCCAGGGACACAGCATGAGGCACCAGCCTTTCTCCCACCTTCCTCTGCTCTGTTTGGTTAATATGTCACAGAAATCTTTCTCAGATCTGCAGGAGGCTACGGGGAACATCACTGCACTGCTGTGCAAAATTGCTATTCTCTTGTGTCTCGCCACTGCTGAAATTGGTTAAGAGCATCTGACTGGGAACCAAATTTCCTCTTCATCATCTCCTTAAGCATACAGAAAAGACTGTTTGGCAGATTTTACCATGCCTCGAACATGAGCAAAAAAAAAAAAAAATGTTCACAAAGCTGAAATCCTGTAATGAATTTTCCCAAATGAAACAGAGCAGTCCTGATGTTGAGCCAGTTTGTCTCACTGCCCTCCCCAGAAGGGCAGACCCCAGATAGGATGCTGGAGAGCGAGGCTTTCCCAGCAAAAGGGTTTCTGCTTTTTGTCAGGGGATCATCAAAACAGATGCACTAGCGGAGCATTTTGGGGTTTGAGACAAAACTTCATTCTCCCAGCTTAATCTGCCTCTTCGCAAAATTCCCAGCCGCTTCTGGTAAGGCATCCCAAACACGATGCTTGCGGGAGGCTGTGGCATTCCTCGCTCACAGAAGTTTGAGCCCTGGTTCCACATGTGCAAAATGAGTTTGTTCTTCTAAATCGGTGCATGTACTTTTCCAGGAATGCAGGGTTTGTTTGGGCCAAGAAATATGTCTTTGAATATGCTGGAGTCAAAAACACTAGAGGAAGGGGATTAAAAAGCCTTTTGGAAACTGCTCAGGTATGGCCTGGCATCAAGAGCCAAAAGCATTGTGGTATCTGGGGTTCGGAAAACTCCAAAAACCTCCTGTTGTGCTCTGAACCTATTTGTAAGGGTCTGCAGACTCCCCCTGCTCCCAGTCTCAGCTCCACGGCAGAAGCACCCAGAGTAGCAGCACAAAGAGCAGCAAGCTATAATTTGCCAACAGGGCTGTGTCCCTCAATGAGAGCTTCCTACGTGTCTATGGGAAGATTATCCTATCAAGTCCCATGCTGCTCTGAAAGGTAAGCATTTAAAACATGACTAACGCTGATAGATGCTATTATTCTATTTTATTCTGCAGCTTGTGAGTAATGTCTCATTATAAATGGGGACGCATTCAGAAAAACATCATCCTCCTGCTGGAACGTGGGCTCCTCGGCACGGGCAGAGGAGCCGGCGTGCGGCGGCACGTGGCTGCCCGCGGGTGGGCAGCATCCCTCTGCTCCTCAAGTCCAGTTGTCCTCCTTCCATGGTGCCAAGCACTTGTGCTTTTGGGGTTTTCATCACAATGAGAGTGGATGATCACACTGTTTGGGGGGGAAGTTGAGGATTTTGCAAGCCCCCCCATCCTGGTAGCGGGGCCTTGCCAGCCACTGGTGCGGCCTCCTGGCTCATGGGCCGTAGCAGGCCTGCAGAGGCCACTTTGAATCACTGAGCAAACAAAATGCCAGCTCTCTAATAAAAGCCCAGAGCCGTGTCTGCCTGATCAGCATGCCTGGGCTATTGTGTCAGCTCTTCAGGGATAAAAATATCAGAGAGCAAGCGTGCAGTGGCCTGCAGCCGCGTGGTGGAGGGCCTGCCCCCATGGGAGCAGGCCATAGGGCTGCTGCCGGTGCTGGCGTTTGGTCTGCAGGGCTCGGAGATGCTTGGCCAGGGGCTGCCAGCAGCGTAATCACCTCAACACCCACATCTGGCTTCAGGCTCTCCCCAGGGCTCCATCCTCAGCCTTTAAGCCATCCCAACAAAGAGAGTTCGAAAATGCACAGGTGCCCACTGAACTGGCCAAGTCTAGCAAAGTGGCTTCTTTGTGGCTTCAAGCATTGTCTTGCCCAGCTTCCTGGGGTTGTTTGGTGGTTTGTGCTCCATCTGTGTGTCACCTGGCCAGGCAGCAGTGTCACAGATTTTCCCTGGGTCCCATGCAACCCAGTGACCTCCTCCTGCTTCACCCAGCATCCATGGTACAGGATCCTCACCGCCCTCCATCCACCCCTGACACTTAACTCTTTTCTGCCTCATGCAAAAGAAAATTAATTAATTTATTTTTTTATTTCCCAAGTGTTGATTTTTTTCCCTCACCTCCTGCTGTGTAGGTTTTTTTTTCTCCCCCCTTCATTTTGGTTTATATTATTGGAACGTTTATTTCCTCTCCTGTTTTTATTTTGAAAAGGGGAAGAGAGCCCACATCCCCTGAGGTGTTATTAAGCTGAAAGGCTGGTGATTTGGCTGTGAGGCACGCTTGCACCTCCCACACTCGTGCAGTCGGTGACGCACACTGCAATCAATGGAGAGGGGATGAATAAACCCAGCGTTTGCTCCTCGCCTGCCATCCCCAGAAAGAAGGGGGTGGAGGAGAGAGGGAGGGAAAACTGTGCTCTGGGCGTGCAGTTTTAAGAACTGTTTTCTATCTAGCCAAGGGACACTAGCTAAAATATCTCTGTCACATGACAGGCCCTCTTTGTCTCGTGGAGCCATGAAGCTCATGAGATTGCTGCAAGCCTGGCTTTGGTGATTCTCACCTCATCATTTTATTTTATTTTTTTTTTTTTTCCTGAGGCAGCACACTGCAATTTAAGAGTTTAGCATCCTGTCTCTTTGCTGTGCTGCTCTGTGTTGTTGTTCTCCAGCAGCATGTCCAAAATAAAAGGAATTGCTCCTTCCATTGGTGGGGTGTAAGTTATGGGGGCCATCAAGGAGTGGGAGAACGTGGTCCTGCTCCTTCCTCTGCTACAACAGGGGCATGCCGTGCAGAACCGATGATTTGAAATGGCTGAGCTGGAGCCAGAGGCTGAGACTTCCTATGGTACAGCAAGGATCAGGCCCTCCTCCTCCTTGGAGAATGTGCTCCAGCCCCAGGAAGTCTTGTTTCCTGCAGAGCATAGTAACTGGAACTTGAAATAAGTTCTGGCACTTAATTATTTTTTTTTTTCCTTGTCCTGATGTAGGTCTTGCCTTCCTGCATGCGACCATGAGCTGCCTCCAGAAGTGGTGTGGTTCTGGCAGCTGATGCCCTACAGAATTAGGGGCCTGCAGCAGGGTTACATCTTTAGTTCGCCTTGGAGAGCTCTACCTGTCAGCCTCTCACTTCCAGACAGTACTCCTCCAGCCGTGCCCAGGGGAAGGAAGTGGCACTGCAGAGGCTGCCGTTGCTTGTACGAACAGTTAGCGCCAGCCTTCAGAGCTGTCACATTAAGGATGCAGCTTGGATGTAGCTATATCCTAGCTATGCCCATCACTCACAGGCACGTGCTTTCATGCCCCATATTTCATGCCTCAGACTATTTTTAATAATTGATATTAACACTTTACAATGGAGGAAATGGACAACAGGCCATCATTTACCCACTGCATCAATAATAAATGGAGCAATGCCAAAACACATCAATAACAAGCTTGTTTGTCCTCCTCTCATATTTGCAGTGCTCCAGGCCTGCAGAGGTAGAGCACAGGCAGGTGATCAGGCAAGGTACCAGCAGAGAAAGCAATAAGTTGAGAAAACAGAGGGGAACAGGAGTGGCACAACATGACCTTTAATGAGTCTCAAAGCTGGACAAAGCTCTGCGTGCTATGTGAAAGCCGCGCGTGCTATTTCCTGCAAGAACACCCCCTCTCCACCATTTTTTTCGTGGTCAATGCTGCACCCCCTAAAAACTGAAAACTTGAGCAAATGGTTTCTGACACAAATACAGACCCACACTCCCCGAGCCCCTTCTTGTCGTGCTGATGCTGGCACCATCCCAGCGACGAGCGCAGCAGATGCTGGAACATCTGTGCTAGCTGCACCGCTGTGCCCTCCCATGTAGCACGGCCTCAGCATAGGGGCAGACCCCATTACCTATGGGTGCATTTACAGTGATGTTTTCTTTCAGATTGGGGGTGTGTTGCCTGACTGACTTTAATGGGCATCTCTGTCACAAGATCAGACCAGAGCTACACAAAGTAAAACCCTAAAATAGCTACAGCATGGATGTAGAACAGCCTTTGCACTCTGTGAATCCACTGCTCTAGCACTGCACTGCTGCTTCAAGTAGATGCTCTCTGGTCAACTCCCCAGCAGAGGAGAAATGCGTAATTTGGACCATGGCAACCGATTTTCTTAGCCTCATGTTAAACCTTGTAGTTCCTCATTTCTTGCGGTCTTTGAACTGGTTTCCAGCTTGTCTGTGTGTGGTTGCTGCAAGGGAAGCTTGTGGCTCTATGTGCAATGCTCTGCTATTCTTTGTTGCTAATGCAATTTGTCTTTTCTCTTTCCTTTGTCAAACTGCAAGCTTTTCCTAGGCTCCTCTGCTTCTAGTATTGGCCTCAGCTGAACATGCTGGCAATGTATCTGGTACTGGTTTTCTTCTGTAGTCTGTGTATATGAAATGTCTTCATATCTGCTGGGGCTATGCAGCTGATGCCTTTTCCTAGAGCTCTTACTACTGCAAACGTGACATTGATTTCACCTGGGTTGTGTTTCTCCTTCCACAACAGCCACCCTGTGCCTTGTCCCTGGGTACTTGTTGCAGCTGAGTGGCTGCTCTTTGGGTTGTGCCCATGGGCGCCTCTGTCCTGGCTGCCTGGAGCCATCCCTCTAGCATCACACCTCCTGATGTCTACAGCGTTCTCCATTTGCAGGAATCCTTCCTGAAAGCCGTCATCTCTAAACTAGTTGCAACAGGTTCAGGATTAACTGCAGGTGTTTCAGCTTTGTACCATGTTAATCCCATCACTAGCTCTTGGCCCAATATGCCTTGCTCTGTCCTGGCTACCACTCTTGCTGTTCTTACCACTGTTTTGCAGGAGCTGGAGCTTGTTCTTGAAGGGCAGTGCACCTGGGAGATCTGTGTGTACCTGGTCTACCTCCTGGCTCCTGCTGGGACAACCAGCTGTTTGTACCTGCTCCTCGCAACTCGTCACCTCCGTGAGAAGCTCTCCTGGCAGCAGGTAACACTGATGGGGGAAATCCACTTGTGTTGAAGCTGATATGTTTCATTGGCTCAGTTTGACTTCAAGGAGGGTGTAGGGGAACCCAAACAGGTTTCCCTTGGATGCCTACCTATTTTCATGCTGCTTTTCTCCTGGCTAGCTGCTGGGTAGAACAGAGGATTGCCTCAGCATCTGCTTCCAGAGTCCTCTGCTGCTGGGCAAAGCGCTTCTCCTTGCAGAGCTGGCTGGCAGCACAGTCCTGGAGCTTGGCTGCCTCCCCTTCCACTGGGGAGGTTAAAAAAAGAAAACCCAAACCTCAGGCTGACCAAAAAAAGCCCTCCTTGAAACTAAACTCAATTTCCGACTCCCCTTTGAAAAGGAAGTGCTTTTCTCCCCGTGCAGCTCTAACAATGACCCTCTCTGCTGTCTGTGAAGTTAAACTGCTCTGCTCTGATGTCTTGTTGAGTCCCTGCAGATTCTAAGTAGCTTGATGTATGTTTTAAGGCACTCTGAGACTTTCTCTTGCCAGGGATATTTTTAAATAGCCATTATTTTGGTCGGACACATGAAAAGCCAAGTTCTTTCTATTGCTGGCCGTGCAAATCCTGTTCGTGAGGCTGTGCTGAAACGGCTGATGCCAGGATGCAGGCAACGGTGTTTTTGGCACTGCTGGGAGGTGAAATTGCTCTTGGCAGGAGCAGCCCAGCTGTTTATTTCATCTCTGCTCGTGGCAAGGGGCTAGGTGGGGGAGGGAGGGATTAATATTTGCTATGTGGGAGAGAACAAAAGGAGAAAAAATAAGTTTGAGTATTTTGGAAACACTGTAAAGAATGGAGGGGGAAACAGTGACACTACCCCATCAATATATGGTTTAGCTTGCATTTACCTTTGCCTTTCAAAGGACCTGAGCCTTGCTATACTCTGAACCAGTGCAAAATTGCTTGCTAGCAGTGAAGCAGCCTGCTTTTCTCACTGGAATAGTGGGATTGTTTCAGGACGTTATTAGGACTCGAAAAGACTACCCAGCCCATCGGAAGAGAATTTAAATCAGGCCCATAGCAACTTGCACTCGGATATGACAATTTCACTGGAGCACTGCAAGGCAGGTGTGATTACAGCTCACATAACAAGGGGATAAGCAAGAGTAAGAAAATGTGAGCACATTAAAGGCAAGAGTAGTATGCGATCTGGGTGCTCATAAAGATATAGTTCATACTGTCTGTAAAAAATAAAATAAAAAAGACTATTACCTTATGAACAGTACTCTGGCCTTCTGGTGATACAATTAATTGAACTTGTTTTGAGTTAGCATAGATGGTCTAACCATGAATAGTGTCCTAGATGACATCCTGAAGTGTCAGCATCATTGATGGCAGCTTCCATCTTCAGGATGTCTTCATGGCAGCTTTCTGGATGTGTTATTTTTCCAGGTGGTTTCAGATAATAACAGGGTATGAAGTGTTCTGCTGTCAGTAAAATATCAACACAGGCAACTCTCAGCAGGTATCTGGTAATAAAAGATTCACATGCTGGTAGTAGAATCTGTGGATTAGGATTTATTGCTGCTTTGGCAATCTGGAAAGAACAAATATTAAAACTGTCAGCGCCTAAAAATTCAGGGTGCAAGAGGAGGCAGCCTTCCAGCTGGCCGGGGCTGTGATCCCCAGGTTTGTTGCTTTCCTCTGCCAGCCAGGTGAGACCCCTCTGGATCTTACCTCCTTTCCAGCTCATTCAGTTGAAATATTTAGCTTTCCTAAAAACACTTCCCACCCTCTCTGGGAATGCTGCTTAAAGGAAGTATAGACAAATCATTTGGCTGCTGAGCATGTATGTTGGAGTAAAGGTGTTTGAACAAAACTCGGGGAGCTTCACGGACCTTATCCCGGAGAGACCACGTGCGTTTTGAATTTAAACAACATCCATATTTCGAGAACATTTCAGGTTCTCGAAGCTTGCTCCATTCAAGGGGCTGACTCAGGAGTGTCTGTGTACTTGGCAGCATGTATAATGAGTAAGACGTGAGTAAAGTGGCATAGGTGCTAATCTGATGATAACAAGTGTTCCTAGCCAGAGGGCCTGGAAAGCAACAGCAGGGGCCAGTGGCTACTGGCTCTACAGCTGACCTGCGAGGGTGACACAATCCTCAAATCCTCTGATTTCTCTCCCTCTTACTCTTATCAACCTCCAAAATGAGACTGACTGCACAGGGGGACCCTGTGGCCAAGCGTCTCGTTGCCTGAGGAAGGAGTAAAGCAGACAACAGCTTTCTCCTATAATTAACTTGCAAGGGAAAGGCTGTTTTTCAGCAGGGCCTGTTGGGACCGGTGAAGGAGATGGGTTTCCTACTGAAAGGGCAGTACTGTCAAGGAATAAGAGATCACAAGAGAATCCATCTAAAAAAAATTGAAATAAATTAACGGAGGGAAGTGAAGATGCTGCTTTGCAGTGTGAGGCAGAGAAACCTCTCGAGAAGCCCCACAACACGAGACCCGGCTCTTGCAACAAGTGCAGTTGCAGCAGCTCTGGTGGATCAGTGGATTGCTTTCCAGAGAGAAAACCAGAGATGGGGGTCACCCAGGTTTTCTCACTGCAGGAGAGCTTTTGGTGAGGACTATAGGCTGTGGTCCCAGGCAGGTCCTTCTGGTCCATACGTAGGTACCTGCTGGAGCAGGTCTCTGCTCCAGAGTAACGTTCAAGTAGTGGTTTTAGGACCAATTTTTAGTCATTTGTCACCATACTGAGTGCTTTATCCAGGTCTTGTAGCTCCTTGTTTCTGTCTCAGTCACAGACAAGATGTTTCCCTGCCCTCATATTCTCAAGCCCTTTTCCTCTCCAGTATAATTTCCTGTATGGCCACAAACAGTACGATTGGCAGCCACTATCTGCAGTAATTTTATTTGAATTAAATTTGATTTGCTGTCTTGTTGGAGACAGAAAGGGGCAGTTCCCTGAAGGGTGGACAGTCTTTTGAGTCATTTCATGGATCCTGTGCTGTGGGCATGAGCAGTGTCTCCTGTTGCAGGTAAGGATCATAGGGCTCCCTGATAACAGCAATCAGTCCATCAAAGAACAGGCAGAGTTACAGCTTTGGTTCTGGCCCGATTGTACCACCTTTCCATCACAAAGAAGTACGGTCCTATGATGCTTAGCTAAGACTACTTTTTAGCAATAACTCAGCTGAGTGTAAACAAATCTACATAATGCTCGATAACACGAGTCAGCTGTTTCAACACAGAACCTGAGGCATAGCAGTAGATCATCAAAATATATAGCAGATATTATCATAATGTCGTAGAACGGCTTCTCACAGAATTAAAATGATCTTTTTGGGCATTTGGCTATCTTCAGCTATTGAAGGAAATATTCCCCTAACTGAAATAAATTCAACTATCTGATAACTACAGTCAAATGGAGAAATTAGATTGTCTAGTGATACATGGGAAGAAAATAATATAGCCAGTCTGGGAACCCTATCCTGTCAACTCTGTGAAAACCGAAGGGTAGAAAACATAATCTTCCTCAAGAAAGCAGGTGTTGTAGTAATCCTTGGAAAGGATGCAGGTTCTTAAACAGAAGGCTTCCTGGGGGGCCGTCTCAGGCCCATTTTTTAGGGAAACATCTCTTTTGGGCTTACAGACCTGTGTGACAGTGGCTGGGGAGAGCTCTGCCATGTGGCTGAGTTGTTTCAATTGCTCTTGCCACATCAGCTCTTTCTCTGGTCATCCAGAGCCTGAGTCTTACTCTGTGGCAGTGCTCTCCTGAGCCTCTTTCTCCCAAATTCCATGGACCCTTTGTGCAGAAAAAGTTTCCCCCTGCTCTTCCAATACAGGCAGTTGTGGACAGGTCAGAGCATCTCTCCAGCTGAAGAGGAGACAAGTTGCTTCAGGGCAGGTTTTCCAGGCTTCTGCTAAGATCTGTGGCTCTTTCCTGAGGAGCTGCTTTCCAGATGTGCTTCCTGTGCTCTTCCAGCCATGGTCTTGCCAAAACCCTGTGCTGATTTTCTGCTCTGCATTCATCCATGCACCGAAGTGAGCTCTCCCTTTTTCTTCCTGCAGGTTCCTGTGCAGCTGGTTATTTGCCAGGGACTCTCTTACTCAGTCCCTTGTCCTAAAAATGCAACGTGTCCTCTTGTTCTTACCTGCAGAGGCTGTGGTTGCATTGAAAAATACGCGTTGTTCTGTGGAGCCCAGCTTCCCGTGCTTTCCAGATTGCTCCGCATCGTTTCTGTCTGTCAAGCTTCTTACACTGCACCCAATCAATATGACATCTGAGCCTCGCTTGCTGGGGAATGGAAATCATAGTAAATATTTTCTAGTCTGTGCAGAACGAGTTGGCGGTCCCCGTGCAGTTGCCTTCAGGCAGGTGTTTGCATACATTCCCTCAGACCGCTCCTAGGATTGGCACCGCTGCTGTGCTTCCCCCTGGGTGTCTCAGCAGGGCTGGGGTCCAGGTCCTGCACTGATCACTCCAGCAGGGCCAGTCTGGTCCCCAAAAGAAGTGCTGCAAATGGGCTGGCTACGGTGGAGTCATGCTGGGGGATTTAGGCACCCCTGTGACTAATTTTGGGTCTGGGCCCAAATGTGGGGTTATCTGGGGGTTATGCCAATATCTGCTGGTATCAGCAGGAGTCTTGTTGACCTCAGCACTGAATGGGTTTCTGCATATGTGTATCTTGTCTCAGACTTTTTTCAGAAGAAGGAGGGCACTAGTGGAGTCAGGACTGCGTTCAGTGTAGATAACTGCATTTTCTGTAAATAAATGCAACATCCTCTTCCTCTCAGTGGTTTTGCAGAACTTAACCCAGTTTTTCCAGGTCAACTCTGTACCCCCTGACATGCTCTATCCCCTGACACACTGCCTTTTCTTTCTCTGTGTTATGGTTTCAGCAGCACCTCTAGATTTTCAGCATCCAGTCAGAGATGGGCACGCACCTTCACCTAAACCAGCACCCTCGTTTTCCTAAACAGAGCCATCAGCCCAGGCAGGTGCATCCATCAGCCTCGGCAGTGCCTCCAGCT